GAGGGAGAGAGAGAGAGAAAATACAGAGTAGTGGAAAAGCACCCTCATGGCTTTTGTTCTTTATGCCTTTGAAAATCAAATGGTAACATCTGGGTCACTAAAGAGACTACTACCAAAATAACTGTCCTGATTCCTGGCCAAAACAGAGGGCTTTTCCCCTTTACAATTAACACAGCATGCTGGATACTCAACAGTCCCATAATACTTTGCCCTCTGGGCCAGGCAGCTTCCATTTCTAATTCTGCTTTTTAAAGTAGTGAAGTTATTTTCTTTCAACCAAGCCAACAGCCTAGAAGTTGGGGATGAGACTTGATCTCCCAGAGAAAGAGATTCTATTGCAGCTTCCACTGTTTTGGATACTTTGTCAGATGTTTGAAGACACATGCTATAAACTCAAGAAGCAACACATATGAGGTACTATAACATGCAGAGTGGCTGGATTCCTGGAGGAAAATACCACCACTGTATTGTGTAAGATTATCTAAGGAGAACATAAAATCTAAAATTTAGACAGCTGAACAATAAAATCAGGCCTTCCTTTCTGAGTTTGGGTGCATTTTCAGACAGATGGTCAATGGTGGAAAGTCTCAGAAAGAAGGCAGAAAAGATAAGAGGAAGAGGAGAATAAAGGAACTGGATGAGGAAGATGGGAAAAGATGTGACTCACTGTCTTGAAGGACTGAGAAGTCACACTTAGAGATGATACTTGAGAGGGCTGGGCTGTTCTCAGAGAAATTTCAATATTAAACATCATGAGAAGGAAACTGAATTCTATGAGTTTATAATGATGAGGAATACTAGTGAGTAGAAAAGTTCTGTGAATGGTTAACAGTGGTCAAAGGATGCATCACTTTCTTTCATTATATATTTTTCCTAGACTTTTTAACTTCTTTTTGATTTCTATTAAACCAGTACTACTGAGATCTCTTTTTAGACCTCCCTTCAGTTCTGATTCAGATTTCAATATCTACCTTCTCAATGGCACTGCTGTGGTCATCTGTAGTGGGATGTTCTTTGTTGGACAGAATGGTCTCATACTGAATAGAACATTCAGCATCTGTCCATTAAGGGCCAGTTATGCTCTCACCTCCCAGTCATAGTGATAAGAAAGCTCTCCATACATTTCCAAATGCCCTCCTCACCTTCAAGGATGTGGCATCGTGATTAAGAAAAAATGAAATTGCCACATATTATGGCCATAATATACAGTGGGGTGGGAGTGGAGGGTGAGGGCTGGCTCCACAGCTGCCCTTTGTTGTATATATCTCTCTCACTCAAATGAGAGTTTCAAAGCCAAATTGGGTTCACTTAAGCCAAATAACAATTAATTGATTCATACAACTAAACTGGCCAAGTCAGGATTCAGAGCTCCCATGATGTCATCAGGTCTCAGTTTGTCTCTGTCTCTTGGTTCCACTTTCCACTGTGTTAACTTTATTCCTGACATTCCTGTGGGGTCTCTGGCAGCTCAGGGTTGCCCCACATAAACAGCTACAGCAACTCTAACCACTTCTGTTTCAAGTCCAGAGGGAAACTTTTGCAAGGTCCTAAGCCCCAGGCTGATAGAACAAGTTTATTCGTGAACCAGTGTGTATTGGCCACAACATGAAAGGCTGATTAATTCAGTCCTAGGGTTATTCCCCACTCCAGGCCCAGTGCCTCACCCCTCCTTAGATGACATAAACTGAAGGTAGTGAAGGGGAGGATCCTTAAGTGAAATCTTTAGAAAGAAAGGAAGCAGATTTTGGGGGAACTGTCAACAAATGTTCACAAAACTTAATGAATTATTGGATTCTCTAATAAAAGATCAATGAAACTCAGGGAGCCAGATTTTTTTTGCAGGAAAGTAATATAATGAAAAATCAGATCTTTCCTACTTCTTTGGCCACTATAAAAAATATTTGATAACCATGCAATTGAATAAACTGTGTTCATGTGCAGGACCCTACCTGGGCATTTACAAGGAGTGGATATGAATTGACACTTTTCTAAATTAAGGGCTACTTATTTACAATAGGATTCCTGAGACTAGGTTATCTATATGCAAGTAGGACACTGTGCATGAAAGTATTTTTATTAGTCCCGCTTCCCTAATTTCATTTTTTTCCCCACTGCTTGTTTGCTGCTTTGGCAGAAACCTGAAGTGGCAGCAGCATTAGCCACATCTAAGTCATCATTCTTACACATGGTCAAACTGGAGCGTGACTCACATGACTAAAGGAGTACATGACTAAAAGAGCAGGCTCTGGGTTTACAAGGGTTTGATACATTATTTGAATGACCACCCCACAAGAAGTCAAAAGTATCTAAGGGCATCTGCAACAGGGTCACAGACTTAGGGAGGAGGGACTTGAGAAGTCCCTCAGCCATGATTAAAGGGGCCCTCAGAGGAATCCAGTGGGAGTCCTGCTTCAACCTGGAGAAATGCTCCTCTTTACTAGATCAATTTATTTATACAGTAATAGGAGATTTTATTGAATGACTTCTATGACTATAGAACTTATCTCACTCAAGCCCTTCACATTTCTGGTGAAGCTTTAAGAAGACAAACCTTTTTTTTTTTGGTACTGGGAATCGAACTCAGGACCTTGAGCTTGTGAGGCAGGCACCAGAACCACTGAGCTAAATCCCCAGCCAGACAAACCACTTTTAAAAGCCAGCTGCAAACATGCCCTCTAAACTCTGAAACCATTGTAGTTTCTGGGAGAAAGATTATCTCTGACAAGAGGAAACAGTGGCAAAAGTATAACCAGATGGGGTTTGAGGAGGTCCCCTAAAAGAGGAAATGAGGACCTCAACTCATCCCACCCATGAGGTAGGTTGTAGGTTCACTGATTCTTATCACAGAAAAAAAGAATTTTCAAGATGTGTTTGTCAAGGGGATAGAGGTTAGGCAGAAAGAGACACTCAGCAAGAGGGCAGATACTCAGAGCGTGAGAGGTACTGTCTTTTGGTTTGGGGTTTTTGCTGTGGTCCAGGAGGTGCAAATCTGTAGAATTTTTAAATTTATAGTAAAAGGAGGAAAACTGGGAAGTTTTACAGATGAAAGGCTCACTTTATGGGAGAAAGGCACACGGGTCCAATCTGTTGTGCTAAGCACTTTTTAAGATTTCAGAATTTGGGTGTAAACTGGATGGGAAAAAAATTATAACCTTGAGTAATAACTTTGTGTCCTGAAGTTGGAATTTTTCTTAAAACTACAATTTTAAAATTATGATTTTCCTTGTCTTCTTCCTATCACCTACATTTATTTCTGCTATCCCACCTGAAAAGAAACAATGACACTTACCTGTACCTATAATCTCTGTCAATTAACCTTTGTACTCCATGGTGAATCTTACAGTGAGAAGATGCAAAATAGATTTGTTTGGGCAGGTCAAGATCTTTTTTACAAGCGAGGGGTGGTGGTAAGCACCTGTAATCCCAGCTTTTTGGGAGGAGGAGGCAGGAGGTTGGAGGTTTGAACCTTCATGGAACTGTCCAGGCTGGACAATTTAGTGAATTAGAGACTCTGTCTCAAAAAAGGGGGTGAGTGCATGTGGAAATGTAGCCATGTAGCTGAGCGCAAAGGTCCCGGATTTAACCCCCAAATCCAGCACCACCACCCCCATACACAAACAACTTTTTTTTTTCCATGGAGGGTGAGGTTTCTTTCTGTCTTTTCTCCATACCTTTGATTCTGAAAATTTAGCTGATTTGGCTTCAGTCTTTAGGCTAGGTGCTCCATTGGCAATTTAGGGGTCAGTCTTGCTTGTTAGGTATTGGTCCCCTTCGGCCTCAGTTACCATCTTGTGACTGGAGGTTTCCTAAACTGGAAGTGGCAGCCTGGGATCTTTTGAGTGCTGTGACATTCCCTCTTCTGAGCAAGAAACCCATGTTTCTACTCATGAGCAACTCAAGTCTTGTTCTGTCCCCAGGCAGGATCAATGAATTTCCCAAAGTGGAGCTGGAGAACCTTGTACCTTGAACCCCACCCATGACATAGACTGCAGGTTGGCTGATAGCTATTGCAGAAAGAATTTTCAGGATGAGTCAGTAAGAGTAACAAAGGGATTATTAGACAGAGATTAAAGTACACAGTCAGAGAAAATAGAACATGGGCCCTGGAAAGGGAGGTACACAATAGTGTGAAGCTGAAAGTATGCGTTCTGGGGAGTGGAAATCTATGGAACTTGTGAGTCTATATAGGCCTTGGTTTATGGGGGAAGGGTGACTCACTCCCAGAAAGATAATGGCCCATTTTATTGGAGAAAATCAGGGGTCCCTGTCTCTATTTTTTTTATGAAGTGTGTCCTAAAATATTTTGCTTAAAACATTGTTTAAAATCTCTGGATCTGTTCCTTTGTTTTAAAATCAGGTTTCTGCCCTTTATCAACTAAGTTAAGTATCTTGAAGGGATTTTGGGTGTGATGAGCCTGGAAGAAAAGAAGCATAAATAGACCCAGGAAATGCAAACATGAATAACCTTGGGTAACTAAGATTGTGTCCTGATGTTGCCATCTCCTTGAAAGTACAGTTTTTAACATAATTTTTCTTTGTCACCTTACCTATCTTTATTATTATTTTTTCTATCCTACTTAATATCCCTTTCCTGAGAATTTGATCCTTTGTTTTTAAAGGTTAGAAGGCTTGTCTGTGTTTGTCTGTGCTTAACCAGGGATCCAAAGTCTCACTCTGACTGTTCTAATGGAGATGTGGAATATTGGGCTCTGTTGTTTGCAGAACCAGCACTTTTGATGATCTGTAAAAGAAGAAAAGGAACCCAGCAAGTCATTAATGTTTAAACTTTATATGATAACCATGTTAAATAAGCAAGGGCTAAAATTAAAAGTGAAATACTGATGAGTAATGGCTCCAAAAGGTTGTAGAATTCAGAAAAAAATTTGGCATCATTTGGTGTAAGTGTTTTAATATTAACCTCTACTTGTCCAGAGATATTAACCTAAATACAAAAGCCCATCAGAATCACAGCAGACTTCTCAACACAAACCATCAAGGCAAGAAGAGCTGGGAGTGATATATTCCAAGCCCTAAAAGAAAACAGCCT